AAATTAATATTAATATTAATATATTAGGAATATTTTATTCGTTCATTTGCAAAAGTATTTGGTGGAATAATTGCAAGGAATGATAAAAGGAATGTATAATATATTATCTTATAATGTAATATTATCTTATAATATCATATTAATTACATATAATATATTAGGAATATAATATTATAGTAACTGCAAGAAATGATGATAAAAGGGATATATAACATAATAAATAAATGACTAAATAAATGATGAAAATTAATATTAATATTAATATATTAGGAATATTTTATTCGTTCATTTGCAAGAGTATTTGGTGGAATAATTGCAAGGAATGATGATAAAAGGAATATATAATATAATATTATTTTATAATATCATATCATATTATAATATGATAAATATAATATAATATCATATCAACTGCATATAATATTATATTAACTGCAAGAAATGACGATAAAAGGGATACGTAACAGACGAATGATGAAAATTAATATTAACATTGATAGTAGGAATATTTTATTCGTCCATATGCAAGAGTATTACCAGTTGAAGATATGATAAGCCTACGATGCGTGTTAATTATTGCAGAATGTAGCGACGAAATGCCTTGCCAAGGTCTCGGCGAGCACGCCCATTTCAGTAATTTCGGAATGGCGTTTCTGACGCTTTTTCGCGTGGCCACCGGCGACAATTGGAACGGTATCATGAAGGACACGCTGAGGGACGACTGCGACGAAGCGGCCGACTGCGTGAAGAACTGTTGCGTGAGCACCATCATAGCCCCGATATTTTTTGTAATTTTCGTGCTGATGGCGCAATTCGTTCTCGTCAACGTCGTCGTCGCCGTGCTCATGAAACACCTGGAGGAAAGCCACAAACAGGTATGAATCGACCTCGATCCATTTATCATCAAACAAAGTAGAAGAATAAAAACTTTGCAAACTTTGTGAAGCTTACCTGTGATACAGCACGTGCATTTTTTCAATGGAAATGTCTGCCTTTATCTACCGAAGCAAGAAATTTGGCAAAAATCGATTTACTTCTCAGATGGAGGACGAGCTCGACATGGAAACTCAGCTGGAGAGGGAACTGGCCGCGGAGCAGGAGGAGCTGTTGGAGGTCGAGGAAGAAGAGGAGGACGATGAAATAGTGAAACGGAAAATGGACGACGATGGTGGCGTTGAGGAGGACGACGACGTTAGAGAACGCGAGTCTATCTTAGTGACGAACGAGAAGATCCCTGCTAGCAGGCCTGGCCTCGCTAAAGTTCGTTCCTTGCCTGCGAATTTTATTTACAATCCACCACGAGAGAGAAACGCAGACGGTACGTTCACCACGATATTAATTTCAAACGAATTTAATAGTAAATCTATATAATTCTACATCCTATCAAAAATGTTATATAGCCGCCCTTTGTTGCCTGACAAATGAGAGAATCGCGTGATGAGAATTTTATCCCGACAGATTTAGTGGATTTACGTGTTGTTGGAGAACCTGATTTCATGTTAATATGAAAATGATATTCTATACGGAATAATCAAAGAGGATCCGCCACATCGTTGCAGATGGAACGATTTCGGTGTCGCTGTCGCGGCGCAGCTCGTATCATCGTTCCAGTTCAAGGCCGTCCAAGTTCAAATCGAAGCGCCGACAGACGTTTCACTCGGGGCACCACCAGAGGAGGTCCTTACTGCCGATGCATTTCGAAGTCGCCGAAGTATTCGAGAAGCCAGTGAGCAATCTGAGCGTGCCACGAATTATCCCGCAGCGCAGCCACGGCGCAGCCAGCAGGGATACCAACATCCACGCTCAGCGCCTAAGGTTACAGGTGAAATTATTTTTACATCCACCTACGAATCCTGCGCATGATTCATCTTGTTGAAACGAGTTTCTGACTTTATTCCTTTAGGCAGGCAATTTTGTTGACAGTTACAAGTAAGTTCTTCATTTTTTTTTTTTTTTTTTTACTTTTCGTTTGGCTTTTAATTTCCAGAGAAATTGTTTCGAGTTTTACGTATTTTTTTTTTTTGTAATGCAATTGGCACAATTGTGTTATTATTCTCACTGTTTTGTATTATTGTATTTTTATTAAAACACTGCTTACAATTGTTTCACTTAATACTTTGCTTCGGTCATAATACAAATGAAGTACAAAGCGTCGTAAGTTCGAAAGATCTCATCACCTCTGACCGAATTTTTATGCATTTATGCACAACGCACATAACGTTGGAGGATGTACAGGGTAAGGCCATTTGATGGTCTCAAATATAATCGATATCTTAAAAGAATATATATTTGTGAAAGTAGATAATGTTATTGAAAGAAGTAATCATAGATTTAAAAAAAATATATATATATAATTTTGATTGTGCGAGTTAGAAGTAACATACATACTTTGAGCTCAATTTTTAGTTTGTAACACGATACACAATTACAATTAATTATTATAATCTGTAGTTATATTTTTAGTTGGCTGTTTGCTGATCGCGTGAAAAACGCTGTTAAGAGTCTGTTGTTGAAATTTGTTTGATCATTCGGTTGTTTCATCACCATTATTGTTACTGGACAAGCATCATTTACGTTGTATCTCAACACACAAAGACAACAATGATGGAAATTGTTGCATTGTAATGAAACCGAGCCATCAATCGTTGTGTTGTTAACGTGTGGATAATTTCACAGGCGACCAGCAGCGACGGGCAGGAGAACAAGTCGCTGTTGAGCGTGAGCAAGCCTTGTGTGTCACCTTGCGGCTCGGTAGCCACTCTGCCCTGTCAGAGACAGGTGAGCGAACGTTATCTTCTGCCAACGGCCACTATTTACCCGTCCAAGGCAACGTTGAGTCGCAGGCCATCGAGCGACACGCAATCGCAGTCGCAGTCGCAGTCGCAGTCGGACGTGAGCACGACGGGAGGCGGCAGCAGCGTGGCCAGGCGTGTCAGCAGCGACAGATCCGACGACAGATCGAAGTCGAGGAACGAGCGACGGGTATCCGCTCCTCCGCCGGCGGACGATCTCGACGTGCAGTCGATCATTAACGAAAGGAGACCGTCCAAGCTGAAGAGCGGAGGAGGAGGAGCAGCAGCAGCAGCAGCAGCAAGTTCCACAGGGACGACGATTGGAGTTGGTGAGCAGCAGTGCTCGTCGTCGACCGCTCGCTACGTGTGCCTGCCTGGGGAACGATCGGAGGAGGTGTCGCCGATGTCCACGACGGGGAACACGAGCGACAGCATGATGGGGAGCGCGAGCATGAGCGGCAGCGGCAACGTGCCGGAGATCACGGTCTGCGCAACCATCGGCTCGGACGTTCGCATATACGTGGACGACACCGACTCGACGAGCAGCAACAATCAACAGAGGAGCAGGCCGAACGAGGAGGCCGCGTCGGACGCGTCGACGAGCGGCTCGTCGGTCACCGCGGTGCCCGAGGCCACCGACGCGACCGACGGCTCGGATCCTGCTTCCTAAAGCCGCCACGCCACCTGACTCCTGTCTCTCGAATACCTTCGGAAGGAAGAAGAGAAAGATTACGGAGAAGAGAAAAATTAAAAAGAGTGAAAGAGTAGATTTCTATGCAACTGCTAAGCCGGCCATGGTATCCGAAACGGCAAAGTACCATGGAGGGTGCTGCGAGGGTTCCAAATGTTGGGCTCTAAGAAAGACTGTAGTGCATGACAATATAGTCGTTATATTCTAGTACACTTTGCCGCCGTGAACTTGCCAAACATAGGGTTGGGGAGAAAGAAGCATAGAGCAGCAATTGGGTGGAGTTCTTGGGGGCAGGCAGACAGACAGACACACA